TGCAATGATGTCCATCCTCTGAAGGTGGGTTCTCACAGCTCTCCGGATCTGCTCCCATGCGTGAGCACTATATTTCTTAAAACACAAGAGGAACATCTTTAGCTGTGTATGACTGATTTTACATTTTATATGGAAGAAAATAATTAATTTTATTCTTTACAAAGTAACATTAACATTGCAGAATCGCAAATACAATATGCCTCTTAAGGCACTAAGAAAAATAAAGCTGATGACAGAAATCAGTCAACTAACACATACAAACAACGTAACAAGCTGTAATATCATATTATACAATCAAACTTACTTCTTTCTTTAAAATCCTCTTTAAAGTCCTGAAGTGCCTTTTTATCCTTTTCTCGTACGACTCCTTATGTGACGGCTTTTGGTATTGGGCCACCTGATAAAAAACCATAAGCAAAATATAAACAATGAGGAAAAATAACATAATTAACAAAATAGTTGTAACAAAAAAATTTGACATTTCATATAACACATTTATTTAATTGCTCATTAATTTAGCCTTTTCATCTGAACATCAACATTTTTATGATTAATGTCATATAACAGTTTTGAGGTTAAAAGATTGAGTGGAATCATTAAATCTAAATGAATGGTCTATTACTATTATGACAATTCCTTTTAATTAAAACAAAGGGTTATATGTAATTCATAGCATGGAATTCTGATATCAGTTTCTCCTAAGCACAAATACTTTCAGACAAGACTTACACATTCTTTAAGCTCAGATGACTGCCTGTGCAGGTCTTTTAGGAAATATTCCACTGTCTTTGGTTTCCATTGCACTGAATTCATGTGCCCTGAGCCATCCATGAGCTTGATGATATGATCTAAGGTCAAGACAAGAAACTTCACCTGGTCCTCCACCTGTAAGGAGATATAATGCTATGTGTAGGTAACTGGTCCCATAAAAACACTGTTGTGATGTATGCAAGTTTAATAAGATTTTCACGTCATGAAATCCTGATCTCATTTCCCCCCATTTATTTTGATAGCATGTTTTTTTATGGAATGAAATGTTTGCCCTCTGTATTCAATCACAAACAAAGTTTACAAACCTTAGCATCGCCTATCAAGTTGTACAGGGTCCCTGGAAATGGCACCTTGATATCCTCAGTATATTGTCCACCCTACAAGACAGAGCACAATTTGTAATTTCTGATATGTTCCATAGCTGTTCATCCATCTGCATATCCAAACCTACAAAAAATAACGTAAATTGACTTAATTTTTTTTTATAAAATTGATTAATAACATTAATTCATCTTTGTCAATCAACCACGTTGAATGAATCACTATTGAAAAAATCTCTGAAAATTAGTGTGATGAAAATAAATGGATAGAAGCAAAGATATTTTTTTTAAACGCTGAACGAAACAGATTAAGCGTGAGAGCATCCCTCAATAGGTTAAACACGTTTATTGCAGTTTTCCAAATAGTCGTGAATCATTCTGTAAGATTGAATTAACAAGTTACTAAGATAAAAACAATGCATCTGTTGTATAGCCTAAATATCTACTTGAGAGTCTTAAAGACCTTGGAGAAAATGACTGTGGTTGTATTGCACAGCAGTCTAATGTCTTCTGATGAACATTCACGAATAAATCATGATGCTTTTAAAAGCGTAGGCTACTTACCATTTCCCTAAGCAGATTCAGAGAATCGGCGCTCACCATCCTGTATCGGCCGAGCCATCTGCAAGCGGAGCATTGCTGCAGAGTTAAAAACATCACAAAAATATACGTCCACATTTGAGCTTGTTTCATCTTTGTATACGTGCAGTAGCTTTCTACTGTGTCGCTCGAGAGACTGTTGCAGTTGCATGGTGGAGTTTGCTGGATTTTATTCGGGAGTATGGAAAGGGAAAACGCAGTATGCAGGTCGGTACTATCCGGCTTACTTTCACTTTCTAGTTGTAGTGAATGTCCATAGACTAGGCTACTATACAAAATATCTCATCTGGTCTGCTATATGAATAATGAAATCACTTTTAAAAGCAATACATTTTGTACTTAGAAAAGAAGTACATATCTAAAGTAACTTACTATAAAAGCATAGGCTACATATTTATAGTTTACTCTTTAATCGTCTTACTATAGACACCAGCGCAAAACGCAAATTAATGCAAAGCAACTTCAATATAAGTTAAAGCAGTCCCACGGCTCAAAATAATTACCCGATTCCAAAGTATTTGAAGGTCGCTGACGTTTCCAAACGAGAAGGGGGTTATACCTGCGGGTTGTGTACAGAATAACACTTTCTGTTTGAGACGTAATACGCTTTGTTAACGCCACGTGCTGACGCAACCACGTACAATCGCTCTCACTGGATTTCACCGCACTTTCTCTTGATGCAATGAAATGCAATTTCTCATCTTTTGTCACTGCACGAGAAAAATGGTCTAGCATTGACCATCAGTTTATCAAAATATTTTACTTCCAGCATATCTTTCTATATTTTTTTTTACATAATAATAATAATTATTATTATAGGCTAATAATTATGTTTAGGCCTATTGTTGTTGTTAAAATGTTTTGTAGCATTTTCTTATAGAAAATAATATATTATTAAACATTTTTCCAGGTTATGCCATTTGTAGCTATAGCAGTGTTTTGGAACAGGGGTAGCTAATATCGAGGTTGTGAAAAAAAAAAATCCTGTGTTTTGGAAAATGATCAACCAGCTTGCATCTAAATGTCATTGGTGAAATGGTATGACAATGACAAGAAAAATTAAAAAATAAATAATTGATAAAACAATTAGTTGTAGGCTAATCAAACAAATACAGATACAAGTGTCTATTACTCTAAATCAAGACTTCTTGCACGCACATATATAAAATCTGACTTGGTTCTTCAAGTTCTGTGTATTTCTGGGCTTTTAAAAAATACATATTCGCGCCTCTGTGGATTTTCTCTGGTTCGTTATTACTGGGTGCGTATTGTATGGCTTGTTTTATTGTTAGAATTGTCTGTTGTTAGATTGAATCCCTCTTTTTTCAGTATAGTTTATCCCATAAAATATCTTCAAGCAATCTATACGCATGCGTGATTTCAATCAATGAGAACTTGAAAGCGCTTTTAAGATGTTGCACTTATTTGCCTGTAGATGGCAAGATTAGCAAAGATCACTTTTATAACGAGCCGCATGGAATGAAGCAGATTACAGGAGGTTTAATGTTTTGATCGCAGTTTGAAACACGGAACAAAAGTAGCAGCGCAGAAAGTCCTTACAGTAGACACTTTGTTTACGGTATTAGGTCTATTAAAAGTGAAGGAATTATAGAAAGTTACGGGAGAAAACCTTTGCGTGAGAGTGGGCTCCGGGTTTCAGTGTTCACTCATCGATACCTGTGTTTGATGTCTTTCGACCACAGCTGTCGCCTTAGTGAGGTCAGAGCCCAAAAGTAATGCAAACAGTATTTGAACAACAATAAATAATAAATAATAAATTACTTTCATTCTTATTATGACATACTTTATTTTTATTAATTGTTTTGTGTCCTGCTTACATTATTGTTGGGAAGCAAATAAATAGCATTTTAAATATAGACATGTGTTAATATGTGTTAAATAAACTATTTTTTCCTCGAAATGACTGAAAATGTTCATGTTCAATCCCCCCCCCCCCCCCCCCCCCCCCCCCCCCCCCCGAACTC